CTGTGAATGTGAAGACCGGGGTTTGGGACAGCATTCATTACCTCCCGCTGGAATCGTCTGGTTTCACTGCGGCCCGGCCGGACTCCAGCGCGTCTCTCGGCGTGCTCCAGCTCCAGCGCCTCCAGCTTCTCGATCACATCGGAGCGCCCGCTACGAATGCAGAAGCAGGACGAGATCTTAACAGCAGGGACTGCATAGATTTGGCTTAATCTAAATTTGCTCCACTGTTAGGTTGAGATGCTCTCCATGCTGCTCTCTGAACGTTCATATGTGCATCTTAATGCAGCTGCATGCATGACTGATCAAAACACCCTTCAGCGAGGCATTAACAGAAACACTGTTGGTTATGTCTTCAGTGAATGCAAACAGGAGGAACCAAAACGTGTCAAAATATGAAAGCAATGTCTCCCAGTGTAAACTCAGCAAACTGTACAGCTCATTTTAATTACAGGACTGCTGCTCAGTCAATGAATGCATCTAATAAATATATTATTGGAAATATCAAGTCTATGGATCTTTTGTTCTTTGCTATTTATTTTACAAAGGACAGTTTACTTGAACAATTATACTTGGGGGAAAAAATAAAGACATGTTTGCGAAATTGAGAAATTCAGTAAAGGAGTGTGTTCAAAAGCAAAAACATTTGCAACATTATAAAAACAATATATAAATTGCATATAATATATTCTATAATATTAATGTATCATATATATTTTAATATTATACTCTACGGTTTAAAAGTTTGATGTTGGTAAGATTTTTTTAACGTTTTGAAATACGTCTCTTCTGCTCAGCAAGGCTGCATTTATTTGATCAAAAATACAGTAAAAATTGTGAAATAATATTATAATGTAAAACAGCTGTTTTCTATGTGAATCTCTGTTAAACTGTAATGTATTTCTGTGATGCGCAGCTGTATTTTCAGCATCATTCCTCCAGTCTTCAGTGTCACATGATCTTCAGAAATCAGTATAATATGCTGATTATTAGAAACATTTCTGATTATTATCAATGTTGAAAACAGTCGTGCTGCACAATATTTCTGTGGAAACCGTGATACGTTGTATTTTTCAGGATTTCAGATGAACAGAAAGTTCAAAAGAACAGCGTTTATTTGAAACAGAGATCTTTTGTAACATTAGAAATGTCTTTACTGTCACTTTTGATGACTTTAATGTGTCCTTGATGAATACAAGTATCAATTGGTAGAGTATATAATGATCAATATGAACTTAAGGGGTTAAATGTGTCTCCTAGTTTTGGCATTTCCCGACATACAGACAGGAATTCAGTTCACAAAACGATGTCTGAAAATATTAAATGACTTTTTTCAAATGTTGCCCTTATTTAGGATCTGCACTGCATTGTCAGCCTCCTTAAAAGGAAGAAAGAAAGCCAGTCAGTGAGGTATTTGTGTCACATGACCGCTCACAGCCTCATTGGCTACTGGGTACAAAGTGGCACAATTCCCATAAACCCAAATTAAACCGGAGTAGAGCGCGTTCTGTACTTTCTCTATGAATTCTTCAGCGCTGCTCATCTATGCTTGTCGGGAAAAAGTGAGCTGTCTTAAGTACGTCAGAGATGCTGTTTGATGGGAGCTCCTCGACAAACACAGCAGCACTTACTTTGACAATTTAATGTAAGCTTAGAGATTCCAGTTTAATACAGGCTCAGTGCTCAGAGCGTCCTGCTTTTAACGGATCAAAAAAACATCTCGGAATCTTGCTTCGGAAAAACTGACATTGATTTAGAGGAAAAGCAGAGAAAATATAGAGCTCTTTTTACAAGTAGATAATGTGGAATGTTAAATAATAGAGTTATTTTAGTGTCAGTGAGACATATACATATTTTGAATCAGTTTATATTTTTATTTTAGTAATTTTTGTTGTGCGTTTGTCATTTTTAGCAGTTTTTGTTTATTTTATTTGTCTATATAAAACTATATAAACTCAGGATTTAAACAGGCATTATTTATGTCCATATAATTTTTATTCATTTGCATTTCAGTTTTAGTTATTTTAGTACATCAAGTTAAACTAAATTAGGTAAGTTTTTTATATTTTATTATATTTCGGTTGCCATTTATTCAAGAAACAATTTTTCTTCTCTGTCTTGGTTAACTAAAATAAACCTGCAAATCCCAGATTTCTTTTAAAATATGAGATTGTACTGAAACTGTAACTTAAATAATTTTCTTTACTTAATTATAATAAAAAAAATTGTACTGCTAATTGTAACAAATACTTTTAAGTAATTTATTTATCTTTAAAATAATAATTTAAAAAAACATTTAAAAAGATTACAGTTATTGGCACAATTTTAGTTATCTATTTTTTATTATAATTTTAATTTATTATATACACTGGGGTGGGAAAATTGTAATTGTTCAGTATTTTGTATTTTAATAAATTATTACATTTGTTAAATTGTATGAATTCTACTGATTAAACTTTATAATTATTAAAACGAAACTAAACCATGAGAAGAAAAACACGGAATTTGGGTTGTGTTGTTCTTTTGGAGAATATAATAAAATGTATCAAAAAATAGAATTTGGAAAAACCGTTGATAATGTTTACTGACTGTTTACAGCAGGGCGCCGATGTAACAATTCTGTAATCTCCATGATTCCATGTCAAAAGCATGTTGCAAAACACTTTCTGCCTAATAAGGCGCACGTGGTTTTATCCCTGATATACGCCTTAGAAGGAGGCGCAGAGAGCGAGTGTTCACCTTCTCTCCGGGCTGAACACAGACTCCTGTCTCTCCGGGCTGCGCAGACGGCTCCGTTTCTCAGGCTTGCGGTTCTCTGCGTCTCCGCGGCGGGACAGAGAGGTGCTGCCGCTGGCATCCGAGTCCAGAGAGCTCATGGAGCCGCTGATGTGGGAACCGTTGGACAGCAGGCTGCTGCCTGATGGGAAGGGGTCGCTGGGTGCAGGGGACAGGCAGCGCGGGACGCCCCCCATCTCTGTGCTGTGCCGGCTGGACGAGCTGCCCGCGGGCGACAGGGGGTCATGAGAGGGCTGGGAAACAGCCGAGTGGAAGAAGAGCCCGCTCCGATCCACCTCGTCCCCGTTCACAGAGCTCTGATCCGAGCACCGGCTCACCATCGAGCCCTCACCTGTAGAGTGCAATGGAGAACAGTGACTTCAGGCGGGGTTTTAGCCAGACTAATGTGTATCTGAACTAGGCCTGTCAATTATGGCTGAGAAATTGCCCCCAAAAGATCATTAAAGTGTTAGATGAGCAGAAAAAAGCAACTTTAGAAAGAAATATTTTGATTGAGCATTGCATAAATGTGACCCTGGACAACAAAACCAGTCATAAGCGCCATTTGGCTGAGATACAACTATTTGAAAATCTGGAATCTGAGGGAGCAAAAAAATCTAAATATTGAGAAAATCATCTTTAAAGTTGTTCAAATGAAGTTCTTAGCAATGCATATTACTAATCAAACATTAAGTTTTTATATATTTACGGTAGGAGATTTACAAAATATCTTCATGGAACATGATCTTTACTTAATATCCTAATGATTTTTGGCATAAAAGAGAAATGTATAATTGTGACCCATACAATGTATTGTTGGCTATTGCTACAAATATCCCCCAGCGACTTAACACTGCTTCTGTGCTGCAGGCTCACAAATAATGATAATAAATGTGCTTTTTTTTTTATGAAATGATGCTCTAAATAGGAAACTAAAAGTGTCAGTAGGTGCCGGGTAAATCTTAATGAGTGAGTCATTGAATCATTCATTCAACCGATTCGTTCAAACAGCTGATTCATTCAGAAATGAAGCAAGTGACTGTTCTTATGAAAGAATCACTGACTCGCTCGATTCATTCAGTGAGGAATCACCGCTGTGTGTTGATCAGACTCTCGACAGTTCTACTGTGGCGTAGATTGGAACTATTTTCGTTTGCAAAATCGAGTAATAATGATAATATTGTGTCTAAAATTTTACGCAATATTATCTTCTTGTTTACTGAACTGTTGTATAAATCAGTGGTGCAGATATTGGGGAGAAACGGCACTCTTGCTGGTGTGACATTGCTGAACTATATCATATGATATAAACATAAGAGGGTGATTTTTGTGCTCATATCTTGAATTTTAGGCTCATATGTGTCCCTGCAGCACAAAAGCAGTGTTAAGTCGCTGGGGGATATTTGTAGCAATAGCCAACAATACATTGTATGGGTCACAATTATACATTTCTCTTTTATGCCAAAAATCATTAGGATATTAAGTAAAGATCATGTTCCATGAAGATATTTAGTAAATATCCTACCGTAAATATATCAAAACTTAATGTTTGATTAGTAATATGCATTGCTAAGAACTTCATTTGAACAACTTTAAAGATGATTTTCTCAATATTTAGATTTTTTTGCACCCTCAGATTCCAGATTTTCAAATAGTTGTATCTCGACCAAATATTGTCCTATCCTAACAAACCATACATCAGTGGAGAGATTATTTATTCAGCTTTCAGATGATGCATAAATCTCAATTTCATCATGATTTCATCAGACTGCATCAGTGTGAGATGACAGACAGCTCTGGATGAGGCGCTGCGTTAAACGCCTTAATCGTTTTAACTCGTTTAATCACACCAAACTAACCGGTTAAACCGACAGCGCTAGTCTGGATGACATCCACACCTGCAGAGGGCAGTGGTGAGCCGAGAGGCGGCATCTCGCTCCACGTCTGGGACACCTCCGCCTCTCTGCTTGGCCATGTGATGGAACTGCAGTCTGGCGTCTTCTCTGCTTCTGGGATGCCCGAGCCGGTCACTGCTACCTTCGCTGGGCCTGGTTCCTGAAATCAAACATATAACATCCACGGTTTCATCACTCGCCGTTTGTTTCCATTAAAATGTGGACGTGGAAAATGGAATTTGTGACCTGTGCAAAATGAGTCGGATCTGGATATACACTACCGGTCAAAAGTTTGAGATCAGAACGATTTTTTATATTTTTTTACAGGAGTCTCTTCTGCTCATCAAGGCTGCATTTATTTGATCAAAAATACAGGAAAAATTTAATATTGTGAAATATTATTATAATGTAAACCAGCTGTTTTCTCTGTGAATCTCTGTTAAACTGTAATGTATTTCTGTGATGTGCAGCTGTATTTTCAGCATCATTCCTCCAGTCTTCAGTGTCACATGATCTTCAGAAATCAGTATAATATGCTGATTATTACAGTTGTGCTGCTTAATATTTTTTTGTAACCTGTGATACTTTTTTCAAAAAGTTAAAAAGAAGAGCATTTATTTAAAATATAAATATTTTCTAATAATATACACTACCGTTCAAAAGTTTGGGGTCAGTACATTTATATTCTTTCTTTTTTTTTTTAAAGAAATTTAAACTTTTATTCAGCGAGGATGTGTTAAATTGATCAGAAGTGATAGCAAAGATTTATATTGTTAGAAAAGATTTATATTTTGAATAAATGCTGTTCTTTTTAACTTTTTGAAAAAAGTATCACAGGTTACAAAAAAATATTAAGCAGCACAACTGTAATAATCAGCATATTATACTGATTTCTGAAGATCATGTGACACTGAAGACTGGAGGAATGATGCTGAAAATACAGCTGCACATCACAGAAATACATTATATTTTAAAAGATATTAAAATAGAAACCATTATTTTATATTGTAATAACATTTTGCAAGATTACCGTTCTTTTCTGTATTTTTGATCAAATAAACACAGCCTTGATGAGCAGAAGAGGCTTCTTTAGAAACAGTATAACTCTCACTGATCCCACACTTCTGACCGGTGGTGTACACAGATTACAGTATTTCTCTCTTGTCGAGTATTCACACAAACATATGTCTTAATTACTGTGCCAACAGTTAACCAAACGCTCACTTATTAACTATAATAATACATTTACATTTATGCTAAATGCATAGTTATCTAAAGTATTTGGTAACACTTTACAATAAGGTGTCATTTGTTAACATTAGTTAATGTATTAACTAACAATGAACAATACATGTTACAGTATTTATTCATCTCTGTTAATGTTAATGAAAAAACTTATTCATTGTTTGTAATGATGACTAATGTTAACAAATACAACTTTTGATTTTAATAATGCATTAGTAAATGTTGAAATTAACATGAACTAAGATGAATAAATGCTGTAGTTCATGCTTAGTTCATGTTAACTACTGTTAACTAATTAACTTTATTGTAAAGTCTTACCAACTTTTATTTTTTTTACAAAAAAAACTGCATGTGCTAAATGCATATATGTTTATTAAAACATTATTTAGTTTTAATATGAACCGTAAACCACTGTTGTGCAGCACTTTATTTGCCAAACTGAAAGAAACTGGTCAAAATTAATTTGATTACAATTTTCATCGATTAAACTGTTAAAGCTTTATGCATTCATTTGATTACCAGCATTTTTAGTAATAAAACTGTATTCAATAATACAACACAGAATCAAGACAAATCTAAAACGGACAACAGAATTTCTGAAATAAATCAATAAAATAAAACACCTAATTTTTGAATTAATAGAATACATATGGGTCAAAGACGAAAAAGGGTTTAAGCATAAAAACAATAAGTGTAATACTGCTTTAAATTGTTGTTGTTTTTAACAACAAAAATTTAAAAGTTTTCTGTTTAATTTAATTGCAATTTTGTTTTTCTTTTTCTGAGCAAAAAATAAATATGATACATTTTCCCCTGATTTTCAGAAGAGAGCCACTAAAATATCATTCAGTGTAACAATCTCGTCAGGCGTATTTACAACAAAAATCAATTTATGACACATTAAAAGACTAATTACTTTCACCCCAAACACTAATTAGTTGTAATTCTACATTTTTTAAATGTGCCACTATCCTAGCTTTTGCCCATTTGTCAGTAATCGTTTTTTACTCATTTAAAACACAATAAAATTTAATATGCTCCTTTATTCTTTTATATATTTTAATATGTACGCGTCAGAATAAGCATGCTGTTTGAATTTTTACATAAATACCGTGTTACACTGAATGACAATGTAACATTATTCTCCAAAAACTTATTTGAATCCTTAAAAGTAGACACTTTACTTAGAGTTAATGTGCTTTCTATCGACATAAAACCACTTTTGTACATTTCTTTTGATGCGGACATCTTAACGTTTTTGACCCATTATTAATTTGTTACAATTTTGTGAATTCTATTGATTAGGCGTCCTTTTTGATTATTAACAATGTAATAAAACCACTGAAACCGAACAATCCAGAAAAGTCAAAACGGAAAAAACACAGAATTCTGTTTGAATTCGGGTTTAAATAAAATGGAATTCGGTACAAACAACACAGATTTCATAGCGCAATAGAAGCAGAGCTGATGACTAATATTACAGCAGGCTGCAGTGTAAAGTACCTGTGAGGTTGCTGGCTCCACTTTGCGCTTCTTCTTTTGATTTTGCTTGTTGGTTCTGGGATAAACCACAAGCTGTTCACTCCATCTGGTGAAAGACAGGAGAGGTCACGATCATCACTGACTTCAGCTGGGAAAATGCCTGTTATTGACTTCTTGCATCATTGACAAACTCCTGTACAGCTGCTTTGACACGATCTGTATTGGATGAAGCGCTATACAAATGAAGAGTTCATTTGCAAAAACCGATAACTCCATTCTTTTTTTTTTTGAGGAATCACGTTTATTTTTAATTGTGCATTCCAAGTAATATCAATCAAACTGCAGTTGGGTTGTTTTGATTAAGTAATAATAACGTAAACAAAGACAGGTAATTTACAAAATTAAAGTTCATTGAAAGTATGTGTTTTTTTTTACATATTAAAGGTTTGTTTTATAGCAAAAGCAGATAACTCCACATTTAATGTTTTAGAGTTTGAAACACACTGGTTGAATCTTTGTAATCTCCTCAGATGATAATGTAGACGCCTGACAAACGTTGTTGTTGTTGTGATCATAAACTGTATGGATGTGAACACACAGAGCTTTTCCTCACCGTTGTAATGCGTTGTTTATTTAATTCTAACAAAAAAGTTCTGGTTAAAAACAACCCAAAATTAAAAATATTTTGCTTATAATTTCTGCACAGGAGAGACTTGGTGTCGTTTCCAAACAAAAGGAAATATATCGGTATCGGCCAAAAATCCAATATCGTGCATCCCTAGTAAAAATATATGTTGTGATCTATATTTGAATCATTGACCCAAACCGTCTTTGTCACTGAACCTCACTGTCTGCGTTTTCTGCTGAAGTAGCTTGTTATAGAGCAACAGTTTCTGAGTAAACACGTACGTCACCGATATATTCCTCATATCATTAAATCAGTGCTGCAGCAGCCGTGATCGTTACTGTAGTGCTGAAGCCATTGTTCCCTGACGCTCCAGTCCAGCCAAACACGTCAAACATGCCTTTATTTACATCCGTCACCCTGCTGTGCTTTGAGAGGCATTAAAGCTGTACTGGAGCCACACCGGACCCCTGCAGCTGGTCTAATGACTGAGCAGATATATTACGGTCCCTTATCACCAATAAGAACACTCAGAGAGCTCTTCAATGACCTCAACAGCTCAGGACTGTAACCTGTACGTTCCCTCATGCAACCGTGTGTTCTCATCCATGCACTGTACATGGGTGCTTTACACGGGTCAACATATATGCACAAACCAGTCAAAGGTTTAGGGGTCAGTAAGGTTGTTTTTGGAAAGATTAATACTTTTATTCAGCAAGGACGCATTGATTAAAAGTGACAAAAACATTTACAATGTTACAAAAGATCTCTATTTCTTCTGAACTTTGTTCATCTGTGAATCCTGAAAAATAAAATGCAACAGTTTCCACAAAAATATTGTGCAGCACGACTGTTTTCAACATTGATAATAATCAGAAATGTTTCTAATAATCAGCATATTATACTGATTTCTGAAGATCATGTGACACTGAAGACTGGAGGAATGATGCTGAAAATACAGCTGCACATCACAGAAATACATTACAGCTTAACAGAGATTCACTTAGAAACAGCTGTTTTACATTCTAATAATATTTAGACATTTTTACTGTGTTTTTGATCAGATAAATACAGCCTTGCTGAGCAGAAGAGACTTCTATCAAAAACATCAAATAAAAATAAAGAACTCTTACTGACCCCAAACTTTCAAATGATATTGTATAAAGAAAAGTGTGCATGTTTTCACAATTTTAAAATCAACTTTTTGACTTCATTTGTCTATCGTAAATGATCCTCTGGTGTCGCATGATTTATTTTTTAAGAATGTGAACTATGATCTCATTTAGTCTCAATTCTCATGAGGTCATAAAACTGCATGTATAAAAAAAAACTAAATCTGAAGACTTGAAACACTGTGCATGTGGTCCTTTCTTGTCGTTTTGGAGCTTGAAAACGTAAGCCAAACAGGTTTGGAATGATATGAGGATGAGTATATAATGGCATCATTTTGGGTGAACTGCTTCTTTAAAGCAGCGGTTCCCAAACTGGGGAGCGCGAGAGAATGATTGTGATGATCTGTGTGCAAACATGAGGCCCATCCTTCTCACTAAAAAAGGGTAGTAAGTTATAGTATTCTTAAATATTCTTTTTTATTAATAACTGAAATGTTGATGTTTTCTAATACCAGGGTTCGTACACATTTTTACCAGTACATTTCCATGACTTTTGAGACAATATTCATGACCTAAATGTTCCATTATTTACAATAAGAATAAAAATCTGTTCAAATTATCATAGCATATGTTAACTAAAATGAATGACTATTAATGCTACTCGTTTGCTTTCTTGTTTTAGTAATAAGTACAAGCTGCAACTGCGCCAGACCTTACTCCACATTTCACATCACTGAATATTATCATTTATTTAACTGTGTGGCCAGGATGGCCATTTTGGTGTCATTTTGTGTGTATTTTTGCTGCTTAAATGCAACATGCTGCGCTTTAGAGCCCTGCATTTCAGCCCGAGCCCAACGGCCCCAACTTATGTATGGCTTCGAGTGTCGTTCTCCCTGAAAACCACGATTGCAAATCTGACATTGATTTTATACAAGAGTTCAAATGCTAGTTATTATTAAGTGACTTACATTTTAGTACAATATTGTCAATGTTGACTGTTTTCGCTCGATTTGGTTAACGAAAATAGTTCCAAACAAAGATCGCAGCAGAACAGTCTGAGCGACACACAGCGGTGGTTCCTTACTGAATGATTCGTGTTTTTAATTAATAATTTGAGTCGATGATTCAGTGGTCCGTTCATAAAGTCCATTCATTCTTGAAGGAATCAGCCGTCTGACGAATCGTTTGAATGAATGACTCAATGACTCACTCGTTAAGAGAGTCACCTGCTGCCACCTACTGGCGGTTTACTCTCAAATTAAAAAGTAGCTTATCCTTGAATTTTTTCCAACATTTCATATTTGTGTATTTTAAAAAAAAAAACACAGATTTAAAACACCAAGCTCATAACATTATTTATGCTGTTGTAATTTTGCAGCGTAAATGCATTCATGCTACATTTCAGCTTCATTAAACTGTGTGCAAATGCATCTAAATGCCACTTCTGTTTCTACTGCAGTGGAAAGATCGGTTTTGTTCATACCGATTTCATTTGATTGGTAACAGCCCTATAGTGTCTTACTATATTAAGTGAAATTTTGAATAAAATATTTAATATGAAAGATGATGCATGCAATTAATAAGGTTAGGGAAAATGTCCTTTAAATAGGCAAAAAAATGAACTGAAATACATTTTAGTATGCAGCAACTTTAGTCATAAAACGTAATTTCCCAACAACAAAATTGTGGCCAGTGAAAATGCTGAGTGACTAGTAATTTTGGAAAACCACTCGCCACAGTGACTGGTGAGCAAAAGAGTTAGTCAAGTTGACACGTGTCAAACGCTAGAAAGTGGCGCATGCTGCAGAAAGTTTTAAAGCACTGCTTTAAAGCACCGGACTGAGATTTGGATTCCTTCATTGTTCAGATCCTGAGATTCACACTCGACCATCTCGGGCTGTTATCAGACGTTCTGCAGACTCGAGACGTAAAACAGGTGCCGTCCTTTCCTGATTCCTTTTATGGACATTTTAAGTGATCTAGCTTTATTAAAAGCTGCCAGTAAACTCCAGGGAATGCCAAATATGGCAATTACAGTGCGTCACAGTTATAAACTGCAGCAGTGTTTCTGTTTCACTACAGAGTGAGTGCTGCGGATGGAAAGAAATCTGCGTAATGAGACACCAGCAGCGTAAGAACAGAAGACGCAACAACAACAGAGAATCTCACGTCACTCCACGGCCCCGAAAACACACAACGGGACATTTGTATCCCTTTGTTCCATCACAAATCATGATAGAAACCTAGATGTATCGGATTGCTAATTTCATATTATTTTATCCAGAAGGGCATTCAAGAACGAACACAAAACTGTAGCATAAATTCCTGTAGAAGCGCCAGTAACCGCAAGCGCACAAATAATGTGAGCTATGTGTGCTGAAGTTCGACAGCAGTTCATTTAGGTCTTTGGATTCGCTTGGGTTGGGAGTGGGAGTCTTTAAGACGTCTTCAGATAAGAGAGGAAATATTAGGCAATGCATGAAGAAGAAAAACAGGAAGAGCAAATATCTTGAACTACAGCAAGGGCCCGGGCCAAACGCTAATGTGTGCTACAGTTAACATGCACACAGGCAGCGACTCAACAGCTCATCCGAAACAACATCAATTTGTCCTCATTGTAAGGAATCAAACTGCATAATTTAGTCAAATACAGAATGAAAACAGACTCACTGTTTAATAAGAGACATTTTAATGCCCAGTTAAAACAAGGATCAGTGAATGAGGTCCTCTATAAGCACTGTCTGACAGACACAGCTGCGTAAATCTCTTTATTCAGAAAAACATCACGGTACATACGTAGATCTGTAAAGACATGAGGGTTAGTAACTAATGACTTTCATTTTACTATTAGTATAAATTTAAGTTAAAATTAAATTAAGTTTATTAGTTTAAACAACTTGACCGTCTAACACTTGCACTCTCTATTCTATTTCTATTTTATCTACTTGTTTTCTTTTCATTCATTAAAAAATTGACCCTCTAACATAAGCACTCTATTGTATTTCTATTTATCTACTTTTCCTTTTATTAAAAAAATCACGCTCTAACATTAGCACTCTATTCGATTTCTATTTTATCTACTTTTCCTTTTAAAAAATTGACCCTCTAACATTAGCACTCTATTCGATTTATTTTCCATCTACTTGTTTTCTTTTATTTATAAAAAATTGACCCTCTAACATTAGTCTTCTCCATTATTTTTCTATTCAATCAACTATTTTTATTTATTATAAAAGAACCTCGTCTAACCGGGGCTTACACATTATTGCTCTTTTGTTGGATTGCTTCTATTGTCCTCATTTGTAAGTCGCTTTGGATAAATGCATCTGCTAAATGTAAATGTAAATTTCAGTCTGTTCCTCACAC